CTGAAACGTGGCACTTCGCCCGACGAAGAAAGCCAATGAAATAGGTTGGAGGAGGAGAAAGGAGGAGGAGGAGAGAAGAAGACGAAGGGAGGAGGAGGAGGAGGAGGAGGGGTTTCGTGATACGTCGACGAAAAAGGAAAAAAAAAAAAAGGATGACGAAGGAGGAGGAGGAGGAGGAGGAGAGAGACACAGAGAGAGAGAGAGAGAGAGAGAAAGAGAGAGAGAGAGAGAGAGAGAGAGAGAGAGAGAGAGAGAGAGAGACTGACACGTGGCACTTCGCGCAACGGTACCGTATCGACGACCACGGGGCAGCTTTCCGACGGCGGCCAGCGACGACGAGCTGGGAAATGGGCATCGACAACAGGCAGCTCGGCGAAGGCGGGCAGCGACGGGAACCTCTTCGGTGGGCAGCGGCGGGAACCTCCTCGGCGGGCAGCACGAACTCGCGTTCGAATTCGAAGGCCGCCCGACCAAATGTGGAGTCGGCGGAATAATTTGTGCGGGGGGGCGGGGAGGCTCCCAAGCGCGAAAAAGCATCGAAAAAGGCCTCCCCGCCCCCCCGCGCAAAAATGCGCTGGGCCCGCCCGGCGTCAAACCGGGGGACCCAACCGGCCGGGCCGCCTGGGACCCCTGCCGGACAGAGGCTGGGCCGCCGGGCGGCCCGGAGTTTAACACACAGGATTTTTTATCATTTTTCTGCATTTATGTGTGTCATCCTTGCACGGGGGCCATGCTAATCTTCTCTGTATCGTTCCAATTTTGACGGACGTCCCAAAGGACACTTGGTGAGATTTTGGGATTCTGGTGATTGGGCTTCAGGTGATCGGAATTCAAGCATAAGTTTTCACAAGAAGATAGCACCCATAGAAAAAAAATGATGATGCACACAGTCTGGTACGTAAAAAGAAAGACGATGAAGACACTTATGCCCTGTTGCACATTGGACACAAGTGCAGCATTGATGATAAAAATTGCACCATGCATAACTTCCTGACTATGCGAACCTACACAAGGCACAAATTTTGAACAAAGGAAAAAAAAGAAAAAACTCCAGTGTCCATAAGATTCCCAGGTTGGGAAAAGAGAATACCGGAAATGAATGGCTACCGTCTTCACCTGAATAGAACGCCCGCTCCAGATGCAGCGATAATGACCGGGCGTTCTATTCAGGTGAAGATGGTAGGCAGCCTGGACTCATTTGCAGCACAGAAAAGAGAAACTGTCAGGCGCACATGGTAAAGGACCCCTATTAAAATCTCTGTAATTCAAAATCAAAACCCCACCATTTGGATGCTTACTGGCAGGCTCCCGTGGTGCTATTTTCATGCTTAGAAAGTACAGGTCAGTCCATAAAATGGGCAGGCTTGTGATTCCAAAACACAAAAACATAGCACACCAGTGGCGCCTAGCTATTGAACTTGGTTGGTCAAGAGGCTTGTGGGTAAAACAAATCTACAGTGCAATGAATGACAGACGAGGCTATTCCAAAGTGCACAACATGTTGAAAAAGCGGGCAAAAGCTCCGGGAAAATTTCTACTCGCCTTCAAAATCTCCCGAACGAATTAGCCAGGAGATCGAGCCAGATTCACTCCACTCTGCACTCGTGTGAGTGCACGCTTAATTTCCCGACCAGATTTCTTCACGTCTTGGGGAACAGACATGCTTATGATCTAAAAGAGGATACCGGAACACTAGTAGAAAACACGAGAACATATGCAGAGCAGCACTATGACTGACGTTGACCATCGTAATGCAAACTTCTACTCCGACTGCATCACACTGACATACAGACTGCTGCCGAGATCTGACAGAACCGCATCAGCAGAAAGAGGCACCGGCATATCAATTACCATATCCTTTTCGCCTTGTCCGATGTCCCTTTTCGAGCTTGCACGGAGGAGGTCCGAGACCAGAAAGAATGGATCCATAACTGCTGTGGAAGCTCCCGTGGAACCTGCGGGGAGAGTTTTTATCTCCTGTGTGTGACAGGGTAATGGAGCAGTGGGGGTCACATGCTGGACTGGAGCGAAGTGTGTGACTACTGCCACGTCCATGTGGTGTTGTGTGTGTGTGTGAGTGAGTGAGTGAAGGACACTACAGCCTTGCAGGGGTGGGGTGGATATCACGACCTTTATGGTTCCACTTTTGTACAGCGTGCCCTGGCCGTAGTGGTTAAGAGAGTTGGATCTTGTGGCCAGGGGCGCCGGTTTGAATCCGTCCTTGCACAGAGGAGGTCTAAGGCCAGAAATATGGATCCACAACTACTATGAGCATCCTCTTTAAGCATCCACAACCATCTGATCCTCTTAAAACACCAGTGCATGGGCACCTGGGCTGCGGGTCTGGCACCTCAAATTCTGTAGGCGCGAAACGAAAATGCGGCTGCTGATTGAATTTATCATCAGCGGGCCCAGCGTTTGACGTTTCGGCCTTGTTTTCTTGTGGCGACAAGTTTCAGACTGCAAGGCTGCAACCGTGTACTTGTGGTTTAAGTACTCACAACCACCTCACAACTTCCTTGCAGCTAAAGTGCAGATTATGCATACAGCGAGTTCAGAATGCATGCCTACCTGGAGTTTGTAACTCACTGCCAACTTTGCAGCTAGAAGGATCGCCCAGAAAATCCCATACCTGAAACACACATCAGATCAAACAGACTCTCGGAGTGTCAGACAGGGCAGTTTACAGTATTAGAGAAGCTGGAAAGAGTAAAAGGACCATATCAATGAAAACTGAAGAGACCTCGGCAAGCTAGCATAGCATCACCAAAAAGACAGGTAAGTTTCTCAGCATAGCAGGAAAGAGGACCAGCAGGTCCATGAAAACCAAACAGAGTGGATGCCAAAGAAGCATCATGCAGCATTTGTTGCTGGTATTCCTGCTCTCTTGCACTTTACTACGCACGTAACGCTTGACTGACTGCTCTCAAGAAACAATCCTGCTTTCTTCCTCTGCAAGGATAGCCCCTAAGACACACAGATCCATGTCCAAAAGTCGTGCCACCATACCTTGGAAACCTTATAGGGCACATATATTTGATTCTTCTGTGTCCCCTTACGCTACAAACGAGTTTCTGAAGAATCGCATCTTAAGTGCCCCATGAGGTTTCAGGGTACGGTCAGATGAGTTTTGGACATGGATCAGTGTGCCCTGGGGGCTATCCTTGAAGAGAAAGAAATGCTGGTCATTGCAACTCGTTTTATTCCTATGGTGGACATGTGTTGCATTCAGGAGAAGGCAGCAGGGATAGTTTCTTCACAGCAGTCAACCAAGTGTCACGTGCAACAACGAAGTTTCTTCACAGTACTTGGCCCAGCTATCGATGATGAGCCTGAAAAGGGGCTGTGTGCCGTTCCCGCCAACCCGCCAGCACAACAAAAAAAAAAACTGTTTTGGCTTTCGGCGCCAGCCTTTGACGGCCGGTACCCCGAGCCTCCGGAAGTGGCGGGGCGTTAACAACAACGCCCCGCGGCCGATGCATGGGCCATGTACTGGTGGTTTAAAGAGATCTACGTATTTGTGGGCCAAGTACTGGTGGTTTAAAGAGATCTACGTATTTGTGGGCCAAGTACTGGTGGTTTAAAGAGATCTAAGTATTTGCGGTTAGGGTCCACTATAACGAAGTATTATCTACATACAATTCACCTATCTCACCTGCGCCATTTCACTAGGCATGCCCAGCATGCCAGCTCCGTCCAGGCAGGGTGGACCTCAAAAGTCAAAACAGCCCAGGGATACCTGCGGGTCAAACATAGGCACTGGCGCACCAAAGTGTGTTGGGTAGTTTACAAAGGGGGCTTGAAAGGGATTACCGAATGGGAAGTTGGGTAGTTTATACATGGGCTATAACTCCTTTACAAAACGTGTTTTTGAATTCAGCCTTATCTTCAAATTAAGCACTGGCTCAGCAAACGGAGTTGCATAGTTTATAAATGGGGTCCGAATGGGCTTTAAAACTAGGAAGATTCTCACGCCCGGCCAGGCACCTGGGCGTGACGCACGGGGGGGTCTGATGCCTGGGGTACCCGGGCGTGAGGAAAAACAAGAAAAAAGTTTTGTTTTTTGGGTTTTCTGTGCTCTCCCAGAAGAACCCAAATCTCGGCTCATTTCTTTTTTTGCGAGTTGGCTGTCAAAGGGGGGGAGAGCGAGGGATAAATTGGTTTTGAAGGGGCTAAAGGGTTTAAAGGGGGGTGCCTTAGGGTGATTCCGTTATTATTTTGTTTTTTTTATCTCCAATGCTGTGAGGAATTCTAATGTGACCCTAAGCCAAAAACGTTTGAATTGCAATTCTACACAACATACTTTTTCCATTTTTTTTTTATTTTTTTTTGGGCGTTGAGGCTGCCCGGAACCCTGCCCGGGGGTCATGCCCAGCCAGCCACCCGGCCGTGTACCCGGGGCATAAGTTGGGTGCCCGGGCGCCCTGAAAAACAGCCTAGCTTTGAAATGTATTCCTTCATCGTTTTTCTTTTGGAATATAATAAGGAGCTTCAAGAAGATGAAAGGACATAAGCAATGCGAACAGCAATAAACCAAGCTGGAACACATCACAGAAGAACAGACATCATCGAGCGAAATTGAAGCAGAAACCAAAGCGAGATTCACACCAAATAGGACCGAGCAAATCACTGAAGTCTCTTGATAATGGAAGCCCTTCCACCGACTCCGATCACAAATACAACCACAATGTAGCCCTCCTACAGGTGTCCTGG